CATGGCGCTGCCAGGGACAGCACTGGAGACACAGTGCGGGAATAGTGCACGGTCTGGCCCCATCACTCTGTGGCGAGGCACTGAGGGCATGCAACAGAGCAGAACTCCTCAGGGCCAACAAGGAGAGTAGAGATACCAGAAGGATTAGGAGGGTGGGGGGAGAAAGTGGGAATCGATCACAAGGATCTATCTAGAACCCACTTCCAGGGTGACAAATAACAGAAAAGTGGGTGAGGGGCAACGGAGGACGATGTAATATGTGTGCAAATGTGCTTGACACACTGGATAAATGTATGGATTGTGATAAGAGATGTAAAAGCTCCCAATAAAAGTATTTAAAATAAATAAATAAAAGGGCTTATAGTGTATTTACTCTTTTATGTAAAACTTTTTTTACTGAAAATGCTGTTTGATTTTTATTCATGTATTATTTTAATTAAAAAGAAAATATTTAAAACTAAAACAAAAATGGAAATAAAATGCTCAGTGTAATGAAAGATTGGTGGCATGCATTGCTTCATTATCCTTTTTACCATAAAAGATGCTATTAATCGATCATTACATGCTTTCTGATTTTGAGCCATAAAATATACCAATTAGTGATATCTTTTATTGTTTGATGTCTTTCTTGTCCACGGTTCTATCTCCTGCCAGAGAACTCTTCTACCAGCTAGCTCCTTTTATGGCCTCAGCACCCAGTAGGCGGGTTACTCTCTGTGATTCTAAGGATAGAAAAGGACCCCAACTCTTGGGATCTTTTAATTTCACCTCCTCCCACTATTTCTTTACCCTTCAAGGTGGTGATAATTCTCTGTTCTCACTAATCTCCAGGTTGCTAATCTCCTGATCATCAATGCCTGGTATTATATTCCCATCATTTAAAAGAGCTAGAACAATCTTAGCCGGTTTTTATTTGTTTGTTTGTTTGTTTGTTTTTCTGCTGAAGTCTTATTCAGTAAATCTCAAATCGGATCTATAAGCAGTCCCCGTGTCTATTTATTTCTGTGCTGAGTAGTCTCTTAATATTTCTTCCAGATCCACTCTCAAGCCTTGGTCCCCTGTTCTTTGCCATAGGAAATTGACCTGTACAGACTGCATGCATCACCTCTGGATGCCAGCTGTGTTCAGACAATCAGAGGCAGAATGCAGGGGGAAGAGAAAGCTTGGGGTATTTAATCCTCCAGTTCCCCTCTCACTTTGCTTCTCTACTTAAGCCCACAGACAACTTCTTTTTCCTGGCTATAGAGCGTGTCAGATTCCAATCACACTTTCATCCTATTACCTTGTCAAACCTACGAGTGGTAATAACATCCTGCCACTGCTAGTACCTGCGTGCCTCACCATCCGTTGTTGGTCCCCTAATGCATACCTGCCCCTTTGTGAATAGCCTCTCCAGTAGAATGTCTTTGTCTTTTGAAAATGCCATCTCCTTCCTGCCAGGTCCTAGATCAATACAACTTGTGTTGGACAACCCACCCAGTTCCCTGCAATGTCTCTTTGACCCTCCTGACTTGAACCTTCATTGCTCCCATGGTTTGTGTATTCTAATTATTGGTTGTTTCCCTCTTGCTTATAGTCCTGGTCATACTGCTTCTATTTGGCCTCCAAGTTTGGAGTAGTACCATGAAGGACTTAGTTCTGACTCACTCTTACTTTGCCAGTTCCAAATATCTCTAAATCTGCCTTAGTTTGAAGACCCCTAAACTGAATCTTCTTAACAAGCAATTAAAACTCTAAAAATAGGGGGCGAGACATATTGGGGCATATGTTGTAGTATATTATTGTCCATTTCAGTCGGCTCTATAACTCTTCCCTGGGAGATCTCATCTCGTTGCTGTTGAGTTGTTTTTGACTCATAGCAACTCTATTGATATTATATGTAGGGCAAGGTATAACTTTCCACATAGGGTTTCCAAGCTTTAATCTTTATAGAAGCAGGCTGCCACAGCTTTCTCCTACAGATTGGCTGGTGAATTCAAATCATCTATCTTTTGGTTTATAGCTGAGTGTTTAGCCACTGTACCACCAGGTCTCCCTTCTCATCCAATACCCAAACCAAAATCAAACCTACTGCCGTCAAGTCAATTTTGACTCATACTGTACTGTACTACTATACTCACTGCCGCCAAGTCAATGGCCACTCATAGTGACCCTATAGGCCAGGACAGAACTGCGCTTTCTGCTTTTCGAGATCAGAACTCTTCCCTGAAGTAGAAAGCCCTGTCTTTCTCCCTCAGTGTAGTCAGTTGTTTTCAAACTGCTGGCCTTTGGATTGCAGCATGATGAATAACCACTATGCCACCAAGGCTCTGACTCATAGAGGCCCTAAATTGGGTTTCTGAGTCTAAATCTTTATGGGAGCAGACAGCCTCATCTTTTAGAAAAAAGAAACTGGTGGGTTTGAACCACCCTTTGCTGTTAGCTGTCCAATTCTTATCCCACAGCGCCACCAGGGCTCCTGTCTCATCCAGTAAACTCAAAGAAACTCAAAATTCACTACCATGGAAGCCAATGCTGACTCATCGTGCCCCCTCCCCCACCCCCATGGATTTCGAGACTGTACCTGTTTACTAGAGTAGAAAACCCAGTCTTTCTCCCACAGAGCTTCAGGTGGTTTTGAACTGCTGACCATGCAGATCGCTCAACCCAATGCCTAACCACTATACCACCAGGGCTCCATATAGAACCTTTAAAATTTATGTCTCCAGCCACAACTTCTCTTCTGAGTTCCAGAACATATATTCAACAGCTTACTCAATATGTCTAGTAGGATGTTTCAAGGGCACTTCACCCTAAGCATGCCCCAAACTAATGTCATCTCCTATTGATTTCCTTCCAATGTTTCCTATCTCAGTGAATAGAGCCACAGGACCCTTGTTCAATGCAGAAGCCTATAAATCATTTTACACTTCCTTTTTATTGATTCCACTTAGCCAATTCATCCTCAAATAATTCTGGTTTTATCTCCTAAATATATCTCAAAGCTAGCAACTACCCTTTATATCTATGATTCAGAATCACCTGGCTAGGGTGGGTTTTGGGTACTCCCACTTGCTTCCAAGTCATTACCATATTTCTCCTAAACCTTTGTCATAGCCTCTCAATTGGGTTCCTTCCATCTGCTCTTGGCCTGCTTCAGTCTATCCTCTGTACTGTTGCTGGAGTCTTCAGTGCTTAAAATAAAGTTACAAACCCATAATATTTCCCACAAGGCCCTGCATAGTCTGGTCCTTGCTAGCCTTTCCAGCCACTGGATTCTTTCCCCCTCACTCACTGTACTTTCTCAAGTATGCTATCTTCATTTGACCTCAGAATTGTTGTACACGCTGTTCTCTCTATGAAATGCTTGCCTTAACTCTCTCCTTTTACTCATCTGTTAGACTTAGGGTTAGATATTTCCACAGTAAACTCTTTCCTGACTCTCTATGCCAACTTAGTCAGCACCCGTCCCCCTACTTTATATGTACTAAGACCAAAAACTAAATTCACTGCCATCAAGTCGATGCTGCCACTATGGGACAGGGTAGAACTGTCCCTGTGGGTTTCTGACACTGTAACTCCTTACAGGAATACAAAATCCTGACTTTCTCTTGAGCGTTTCTCTTGAGGGGGTTTTGAACTGCTAACCTTGCAATTCACAGACAAACATATAACCACTATGCCACCAGGGCCTCCTTTTATATGAACCAAACAGCCTATATTTTTACTTTATAATAGAATTCTTATAATTATCTAGTCAGTACTATCTATCCTAGTAGCCTTTAACTTTTACCAAGGGCTTAGATTGTGTCTTGTCTTCACTGCCAGCACACAATATATACTCCATAAACATTCTCTAAATAAATGAGCAAATAAATGTATGAATTTAGATAGCTATTATCTTTGCCAGATTGTAAGCTTTTAATGGTAAACTTTATATCCCTCTGGGGCCTAGCCTACCCTGTATATGTATGATTTAACCAAAATTACTTGTGAAAATGAATTGGTATACCTGAAATTGCTTAAGATATTTTTTACAATTTCCTCACCTATATTTCTTATGTGCATTTTCTTTTCCTACACTGCAGGTTCCAGAGTTTTATGTTGTTTTTCTTCAAATATGCTCTTTCATTCTTTGTTGCCAGAGAAAGCTTCTCCAACTCATAATTCTCTTCCTTTGAATGTTACTGCATTTATTATAGAAGGCAAATGTAATTGTTGTGTACACTTAGCATACGATACAATTTAAAATGAGAGCACTATATTTCTACCTAAGATTAGGTGTTTTCTTTTCAGGTGTGGTGTAGTGATAATAACCATGGACATAAAGAAGCAGCACTGACTGTGATTAGGGGATGGGGATTTGGACCATAAATGATCATTCATCCATATTTGTCTTTTCCCTTCATTGACATAAAACTAGAGCTGCAGAGTCTGCCTTTGAGCAAATTTTTCCACAGTCTTAATCGTCATTGTTTAAGAAATGCCAGTTTTGCTAATTTGTTTTGAATTGTTGGGCATAGGGAGGAAACCCTTCATAGAGCTCCATTGTTATTTGCAGAACACAGAGTCTTACAGAATGGGCAACACTCAAATCTCTTTTCTGGAAAACAAAGCATAGTGGGTTGAGTCCTCTACTAGGAGTGCCAAGACTTGTAGTGTAACCTTGACTCAGTCTCGGACCTCTTTATTCTTTTGGGCACATGACCTCAAGTTAAAAAGATATCACACCTTCATTCATTACTCACAGGGTGGCTGTGAAAATCAAACGAGGAAAGTTAAAACTGGAAGGAAGAAGCATTCAAACAATAGCCCACTAGGGAGAAAAGATCGAAAGTTCTTGGTACTTTAGAAACTTCGTCACTCTTCAGGTCACCCTCATTGATGTCATTCCTCCTAAGCACTCTATTACTAAACAAGTGAACACATGCATGAATACATTTGCAATGGGGAGGGAAAATTGTTGAGAGGGTAGGGTATGAGGCAAAATATTGTGACTTCAAAATTATAAATCTCACAAATTTGCAGTTAAATGACAATTTATATTGTGATCAAGACATTCTTCAGAATTACATTTCTCAGACAACAGATATTTGTTATCAGCAAATAGAACAATACTTAATTTCCAGGAATCCAAAAATAACATGCTAAATATTAATTGAAATATTATATTTCTGACTTTATACAATATTAATATATTTCAAATATCAATGATTTCAAACAAAAGAAATCCAGGTTTTCTTACAATTGACTTTACATTTTGTTAAAAAAGTTCTTCTTCCATACAAATGTAGGTGAATAAGATACATGACTAAATGTTACCATGGAATTGCATTAACTGAACCCCTTACCTACTAAGTAAGTATGATGGGATCTGCAGTGGTCAAACCCAGTTATGAGGCCCAAACCTCATATTTGGCATGGATGGAAAGGTTAGGTTGGATAAATCCATCTTTACTTGATTCACTTTAATATTTCATGCCTAAATCATAATATATAATTTCATAAGTTTTACACAACCCTTGTTTCTAAAGTGCATGCAAAATCCATTTTATAGAAGCTGAATGATCATTTTAAATATTAGGAAAGTTTACTATTTCAGGAATTCACATGATGTAAATCTTCATTGGGTTGAATTATAAGAAATCACAGATATTTGGCCATGTGTAACCTACAAAAATGGTAATTTCAACATAATAAAAAGTGAAAAACCATTCTTTTCATATATATCTATATACATAGATAAATATATCATTATGTCTTAAAAACAGAATATACCTGTATGTGAGTGATTTATCCGTTTATATACATTTAGGCTAACCTGCCACTATTCATATTTATTTTGCTTTGGTGAGAAGAGGAAAGGATTGCCAAGTCAGCATTTTGGACAGATATGTCCGCAAAAATTATGCCCATTGGTTGTTCTAACCACCTATTTTGAGGCTGAACGCACTTAGTATAATATATTGGGAGAAGTGAAATCATTTTGCATAAATTGAAAATGCTTTTCTAGGAAGAAAACCTTGCATTTATTTTCCCAAGGATTAAATACTATGTGAGTTGCCATAGTGACACATAGGTTAAATACATCCTCATCTGTGTTATCACTGGAAAGCATTAGGGAAGGGAAGCGAAAGTGAGGGGAGGGGCGGGCCGGTCATGCTGCTATTTTAGTGTCGTCCGTGCTATGTGCTTTGGTTGATGCTCAGTGAAGACCTGGATCCCATGGGGTAACTGTGATGAAAGAAAGTGGTTGTTTTCCAGGGGAGTCACCTGATCATAAATTAGCAATCCAAGTCAGTGATTAAAGAGCAGTTTGGGTCATAAGAAATTTAGGCTAGGGAGGTCGGGTGAGCAAGTGCCCACGTCAGATTCGGCAACAAGGCATTTGCTATTCATTGTTGTTGTTACTGTCACCGGTTCCTTTATTTATTTATCCAGTCACTGACCTCTTAAATATAAAGTCCATTTAAATACTGTGAGCAGGGAAAGTCTAGAGTGAGGGGAGATGGGTGTCCTTAACACCTTCTAGAGAGCATATGTGATGAAGCCCATGTATGGCTGCAGGGATCTAAAATTGGAAAGGATCTGTATCCACAGGGTCTGTGTGTTGAATAAAGAGAAAACATACAGAACCAAGGTGTAATATTACAATATAAAGGTTACTTTGCACTTTTTAATGTATAAAGCCCAGAGGGAACCGCATGGCTTAGCCCGGGAGTTACCAAACTTTTGAGATGGAAGAGCCAATCCTGTCCCTCACAACAATTTCAAATTTATTTGAGAGCAATAAATATATATTTATACAAACAAATGAGATCACCATGATCTGAATAATATCCCAAGGCTGAGTCTACCTACTGCTCTGTTCTGGATGAGGCTGGATGTAGCTGCTGTCTCTTACAGGGCGCTGTGGTAACAGGTGTGCCCAAGTCAGTCTTGATGCTAAGTTTAGCTCTTCATGTGGGGATTTCACACTTTGAAGCCCCTTGGCGAGGGGAGCATTGGCAAATGACTGTGTATAAAAGTAGAAAGCACTTGGGAATTTCACAAGCAAGCTAGATTTAGATCAGAATAAAGGGGCCAATCTAAATTGGTTACAGTGTATAGAAAACTACATATCAGGTGGAGGTGGCATTAATATAACAGCCAGTTTGCTTCTCCATTATTGCCACTGCGGTTCCCAAGGGAGCACCCTGTGAAAGTTGATGACCAAGGGAGAACTGATTTAAAAAAAAAGTAGGTAGCATTTAACACAGGTGTATTAGTTCTTTGGTGGTGAGAATATGACCAACTTTATAATGTCTACTTTGTCAAAGGTATTTCTCTCTCTTGGAAAGTTACTTCATTTTTTTTTCTTCCCTGCTAGACTACTATGGCTACGTGGGAGCATAGAATTTTTCAAAATAGATTTCTCTTCTAGATAATCAGTGAAACACTTTATCTTTTGGCAGGGACCAGGATGGAAGCAGTATTTTCTGCGAAGAGACAAATGTAGTGTTTGAGGACATTGATCTTAATTTAAAAGATGCTGGAGCAGGCTTTCCAGTCCCTATCTCCTTTCGTTCTCTGTTTTTCTCAGACTCAGAGCTAAAATGAGTCTAGGGATGACTAAATAGGTCTCTGACCATTTTTAGGAACACAAGTCCTAAAACATAACAAAAACAACAAAACCTCTCCTGGGACTCAGATGGGTTCAAGGTTATGTCCAAAGCCACAATCACTCAACATTAAAATACCAAGATTATTTCATTTTTGTTTGTAAAGTACAGCTGTGTCTTCTTTGCCAAGGCCACCTGGAAATCAAGCTCAGGTTCGTGGCGAACTCAATCCTGGAGCGTGGCAGGGAGAGAGAAACCCACAAAGACGCTGCACGTGTAACGGAGGGTTCATTCGCATTAAAGCATTGTGGTGTCAATTTTCCTTGGTTTGGGGGCAGCTCCTCTTTCCAGATTTTTGTAATCCATCTGCAATTATCTGAGTTTTTAAAAGTCCAGTAATAATTATAGCACAGATTTTAAAAGTGCACATTTTCCTCCTCTGTGGTTGTGTTTGGTCACTAAAAACTTTCTGCACACTTGCGCTTTCAACTGAAACCATTTCGTAGATCTCTTTTTTCACAGGACATGAATCCAACAGCCCACGGATATCAAACTGTTGTTCTTTGGGGCATAGATTAGTGGTTTCGTCTATTAACCTCATTGCTTTAGCTTCATCCTTTTCTGGGTGTGCCTTCCTTGAACCCCCAGCTCTTTCGAGGACAAATCCTTCTTGTTTGTTATTGGAGCTTCCAGGGATCTTACTTGATTGTTTTTTCCCCCCACAACAGCTGCATATGAATTTCAGTGGTCTAAGGTTTGTTCAAGGCCCAGACTCTGGTTACTATGGAAACCTGCCCTCCCAACCAGCTGCCATTTCCCATATTCCTGGCAAAGAAGGAGTATTACATTTCTTAGATATCCCACAAGCAGAGTCAGGATAAAGAGTAATGCAAAGAAAGCACCCTAACTTTAATGAATAGCTTGTGGATTCCGTACAAGGAAAGCTACCTGCAACAAATCTGGACATGAGCATCAATGGGTTCATTGAGATGCATTAAAGTTAACCTTCATTCTGGCTTCAAGGAGTGGGGATCCGACTCTGCATCTCTACATCAGTGAACTGAGGCACGCTTTCTGTGCTCTCCGAGGTGATGGGTGAGATGACATGCTTGAGCCGAAGAAGCATTGTGAAGAGCAGGATGAGGAGAATGGCCAGGAGGCTCAGGAATAAGCCCACGTACATGTACAGGTTGGAATACTTATCTGAAGTGGTGTCAACCTCCGTTGCCAAGGTGGGAAAATGGGCTCGCCCTGTGAGATTTCCATGGTACTTAACATGCACCTGCGTCATCACGCAAGACTTGAGAGTGTTCGTGTTTCTACTGGATTTCTATTGCCCGCAAGGCATTCCACGGTCACTTAGGCCGTCTCCAAATAGATTGGGAGGTGTTCTAACAACCTGCTACCAACCAATCACTATCCTAGATGAGTCGTCAAGGCAAAACCAAGAAAGTGGCGATGGCCTAAATCAGCAGTTATCACACCCTCTTTATTGTCTAGCACAGCACTTGCCTTTCAAAATAGATTTTATCAGAATCTCTTAACCAATTTTTATAAAATGTGTAAGTATATTTTGTGTTCCTCACGTACTACTCTTATACTGGCTTCAATAAATATAGTGAAATTGCTTTAATAATACTGGTATAGAGACAAGGATTCCTTGGGGGTATTTTATTAGACTTTTACTCTGTTACGGTGAAGGGAGAAAGGACTCCGTCTTACCTACAGCTCATCGAAATATCTACACTAATTATTCGAGTTTAATTGGGTTATTCTGTGAGGAGACTTTTTAATGGCTTTTGTATATGCCAGGCTTGGCATATTTGAGTTTTCACCTCACTTGTCTGTCTTTCTGAATCTTCCCTAAAGATGGAGATTGTCAGGTTCCTGCCCAGTTGTCGCAGCTTGAAAGTTGTAAGTCTAGAGGATGTGCGTTTTCTGTTATTGTCCCTCACTGTAGGCTGCAGGGAAAACGTTGACAGACCTGGTAATTCTCCGATGGAGGATATCTCAGAGATGCTGACAGCAGTAGGTCAAGGTTCTGAAGAGTTGGTTCTTAAGATTCTTCAAGAGCTTTATTTCCCTGAAAATCAAAACCAAAAATAAAAGATTCAGGTATCAAAGAAAAACAGATGACCAATTTCTAGGGAATAAAAAAGATCAATATATTGCAAAGTGGCAAATCAGTGCTAGTATGGTATCTTGAGTCACTATCATTTTGGATGCTCTTTTCTGTGTGGAAAATAACCATGAAAGATTAAAGAAAAATCCAGATCCCTAAATAGCAAATAGATTCGTAGCTAGATTAGGACATTTTCCAAACTAACTGATCATAAAAATTACCTAGGATCCTTACTAAAATACAGCCCCAGGGACTATCCCAGACCTTCTGATTCATAATCATAATCTCCAAGGTAGGGGCCTGGGAATCACTCTAGAGATTCTGATGAATTGGTTGAGGGTGGGGTCCAGTCATTGGTGGGGGTTCTGTTTGTTTGTTGAAAGCTCCCAAAGTAATTATAAAAGGGCAACCAGGACTAAGAACCTCTTTATCTAGTTTAACCTGCTAGCACAAATATAAAGAAGACCTAAATCTAAGGATGAAGTTGTCAGTCTCCAAGTTCCAGTGTGATCTTTGGTACTTTACCAGATCATGGGGGTTTTAGGAGTGCCAGCTTACCCCAGGTTTGTTCTTGTTCTCCCTCTCTCATTTAGGTCTATGGGGTACTGTATAGCATTTCAATATAAGGTGTGAAGGTATTTTTTTCAGTATTTGTGGAACAAAAGGAATTGAGAGGATACATCTCATCTGAGCAAATACAATGTTCTTCATTGTTCTTATTGGCAACAAAAATCATACCAGCATTTAAACAGAAAAGAGCCCAGGTAGCACACTGGCTTACACATTAGGCTGCTGACCGCAAGGTCAACAGTTCAAAACCACCAGCCACTACAGAAAGATGAGGCTTTCTATTCCCGTAAAAAATTTACAGTTTCAGAAAATCACCGGGAAAGTTCTACTTTTTCCTACAAGATCACTATGCGTGGGGATTGACGTGATGGCAAGGAGTTTGATGTAAAGAGAGTCACTTATTTACTGGTGAAGTGGTCCCAAGTTCTAATATGTCATCTAGTCTAAGAAGCTCAGCCTGGGATGATTTAGCCTGTCATTCAAAATGTGAATTCTGAATATGTGTGGCTAAAATAATAATTTTAAAAAGACATAAACAATCATGTCTTGTCAAACTTCTGTGTGCAATTGTAAAAAAGAGGTGACAATCTAGTCTAGCTTTGTCTCTTGTTAAGTCTACCCTAAACTAACTCTACACTCACTGCTATGGAGTCATTTCTCACTCAAAGCAAATCTATAGGACAAGTATAATCTCCATGGTGGGTTTCTGAGACTGTGGATCTTTACACAGCCTTATGGTTCTCTGGAGGAGTGGCTGGTGGTTTCAAACGACTGACCTTGTGATTAGCAACCAAACGTGAAAGATACTATGCCCCCAGGATTCCTTTAGGCTATTAAAGGAGGGTTAATAGAAATAGGTACCACAATCATATTACTCTTTCTATGACCTCGAATTTTCTCGCAAGCCTGCGAGTACATCAGTTCAAAGTTCATATTCACTAGCCCATCTTGCTATGCTGTCTGTAACCTGCATGTTTCTTTGTCAAGGTACTTCCTACTGTCCCTAGTCCCCAGAAGAAACACGAACAAAGAGAGGGGATTTTTCTCTTTGGAGCACTGGTTCTTAGGAATGTTTTTTTCTATATTTATCAATTCATCCACTTCTATTTTTATATCCAATTCATTAATAAGTGGAAAAGACAATCATATGAGTTTTTTTTTTAGTTCCCTGGAAACACCATCCTCTATAAGCAATAGTTCAGTTCAACAAAAGAAAACTGAAATTCGTTGACCTCATGGAAGCTCCATGTATTACAGGATAGGATGGCTTCATAGTGTTTTTTTGACTGAAATTTTAATGGAAGCAGATCACAAGGTGTTTCCTTCTACAGAACCAACGGGTGGGTGTGAACTGACAATCTTTAGCTTGGCAGCCAGGGTTGCCTCAGTAGCTTCTTAAATGTTCACGTTTTAAGGTTGGCTGCTTTATGTACCACCCCTCTAAACCTTAGTTCTTGACCTTGTTTATTTTCTCATATGTAATTTTTCTCAAGCATGGATTCATTCCATCATTAAAGAAACTTATTCCGATGGTCTTCTTCAGGCTTATGAATATCTAGGATTGTGGTCCAGGGATAGACCTACATTCTAACACAAGTCAAGCAATTTTCTTTGCACACTGAGGTTTAAGAGAGTCTTTCATGGATTGGAGTGTATCTCATCCAAATGTGTGTCACTTTGGCTAGGCCATGATTCTCATTGGTTTGGCAGTTATTCTTTGATGTAATTTGAAAGTCATATAATGATGTAATCACCCCATGATTTGATCTGATGTGATTAGCCAATCAGCTGTAAGAGCATTAAGGTGAGCTGCAACACCCTTATTCAAGTCATAATCCTGATCCAATGTAAGTGAAGTTTCCTGGGGGTATGACCTTCATTGTCTTTTATCATAAAAGAGATAAAAGGACAGGTAAGCGAATAGAATAGGAGAGATCTGACAACCACCAAGAAAGAGCTAAGAATAGGACATATACTTTGGACCAAGGGTTTCTATGCTGAGAACTTCCTAGTCCTCTGAGAAAAATGATGCCAAGACTCATGCCAGTCTCCAAAGAATGTTGGGCACACAGGTCTTGAAAGAAGACAAGGACCTGTCCCTAGAACCCGTAGAAAGAGAGTGCCTTCTCCTAGAGCAAGCACCCTGGATTCATATTCCTCTGCTCCGAAATTGTGAGTGAGTACCTTTGGTTTGTTAAAGGCATCCACCTGTGGGATTTCTGTTTTAGCAGCACTAGACAACTAAGACAATAGCTAAACTGTCTATTTGGTTGTTAGATGCCATCCTCCACTATTAGAACTTTTTATTGTGAATCGGGTGAAGGTTTGTGGAGCAGGCCACTTTTCAGTTCAACAATTCATACCCTTTTGGTCTTATCTCACTGCAATCTCCACAATGTATCATCACGTATCTAACTTCCTGTGTTTCCTATTTCCATTCCTCCTTCTTTCCTAACCCAACTTAATAAACTATTTATAGCAAAGTTATTACTCCAATGTGCTAGTGTTTCGGGCCCTTAGGGCACTGTTTCTTAGCCGGCTCCAACAGAAGTTCCCTTCATCGGAATCATCTGGAGAGAGCTTATTATAATATGCAGATTCCTAGGTCCTACCCATGCTTCCCAGATCAGAATTTTTTCTGGAAAGGATTCTGGAATTTACATTTATAACAGGCTACCCAGTTGATTTTTATGCCTACTGAAGTCTACAAAATTATGCTTTGGAGAGAAAGAGTTTCTAATGGTTTTCAGTCCTGCCTCTGTTTTAGGATCATTTATTAAGCTCTTAGAAAATAGATATACCTGGTCCTTTCCCCAGAGATTATGCTTCAAGAGGATTGTGTGGGACATCTACTTGCTTCATAATTCCACAAGTAATTCTACATCAGATCATTATTCTATTTGTATCAAGGCAGAAAGCGTTATATGTCCCCCTTTTTATTAGACGTGCCCTACAAATAGATCGTCCATTCAATCAATCTGCCTCTTCGCCGCCTCTCCCTTTCCTTAACGAGTGATATTGGACCAGAGTCAAGAGTCAAATACATTTTTGGTATCCACAGGTCGTCTCATGAGTTACTTTTGTCACTTGCCTTCCAGAAGAGTAGTGGAGAGAAGAAGAAGTGCCCATCAAGCAGGACAAGCCTCTATCTACAGCATAGCGTTTTACTCCCCTTGGGATTTCAATGCACTGACTCAGATATCTCCTCATCTTTGGTTCATGGCACCCTGCCATCCTAGGGCCAGCCAAGCCCTCTTTTCTTTGTTTATCTAATAATATAATGAAGACCACGAACAGACGCCTTTGAACAAATACCAATGGATTGGCTCACTGTAAATTTGGGAATAACTAACAATTTTACATTATATCAATCTTAAAGTATATCAATATATACTTCATTTGCATACCACTTTTTCCCGAGGAAAACTAATATGGTGCATTCTATCATTTCCTTGCTTCCATTTTGATAAAAAAAAATACATCACTCTATATGTAATCTATGACTTGCTATTTTGACTCTACCTTATATTTTCATGGATTCTTTGCATCTGTTCTGACAGGATTTCCATTCCTTTCAAAAGAAATAAAGACTCAAAAACCTCAATATTGCCTTCAGTCTCTTTATTGCCCTTAGAATGTACTTCATTTTCCTTAACATGGCACTCAAGACCGTCACTGCTCTGACCCTGGATGACCTTCTCTCCTTCCACTGCTTGCTTTTTCAGTCAAACTGTAATGCTCAGTTACCTGCTTCCCTGCCGCCATGTGTTTTCCTTCTTTGTCTATATCTGCATGGTGAAATGCTACCCATTCTTCATGGGTTAGCTCATGAAAATGACCTTGATCCCCCACCTGACTCCTAATTTTCTTTTTCTTTTGGAATATTTTTCTGTATACGAAATCCAGGATAAGTAATGCTTCAGAGACAGCGATGGTTTCTTGAGGGGAGGGTGAGGGTATGGCAAATGAGGTTGGGGGGAAATGGGGAACTGATAACAATAAGTACAACAAAGAAGAAAATTGAGTCCTAATTTTCATAGCACTTTACACTGCTCTCTATCTGAGTCCTCATGGTGTGGTGGTTACACATTGGACTGCTAACTACAAGCTCAGCAGTTCAAAACCACTAGCCGCTTCTTGGGAGAAATGCAAGGCTTTCTACTCCCATAAAGAGTAAAACGTTACAGTCTTGGAAGCCCACAGGGGCAGTTGTACCCTGTCCTATGGGGTTGCTAGGAGTTAACATTGACTTGGCGGCAGTGAGTTGTTTATTTATCAGTCAGGGAAATTGTTTTTGCCTAATATTTAGGAGGTCTAGTGGCATGGTGGGTTAAGCATTGCACAGATAGCCACAAGGTCAGCAGTTTGAACCCACCAGACACCCTGCAGGAGAAAGATGAGGCAGTCTTACTTCCATAAAGATTTATGACCTGGAAACCCTATGGAGTAATTCTATGTTGTCCTATTGGGTACCTGTAACTCATATTCAACTTGATGACAGTGCATTTGGCATGAATTTGGAATATTTCCCTTTTTCTATTTCATGTGCCACCCATCCTCCTGATTCTATGTTGTAGTTTATAAACTCCTTGAAGATCTTGTTCATTCTTCTAACTCCTATGCAATCATGCTTACAGAAGCAGTTCAGTAATCGTTGAGTGGATGGATGGATATGACGGAGGAATCACACTGAAGAAATGCAATCTGAAGAGAAGCACCGTCTTATTTCTGTCCTGATTGCTGTGAGAGCTCAGAGAAGAGCATGCAACTGCATTTTCATTTCCCTCTCAATCTTTTCTCATGCAAAGAAGAGTGACTACATTTCAGATTATAATCTAGAATTCAAATAAACACTTGAAAACTTTGCTCTTGAACTGCTATTTTAGTTAACTGGTGATAAGGAATTACTGTATGGGATGGTTTCTAGCCTGAAATTTAAAAAAATTACCATTATATCCATAAATAGTATTCAGTGATGTCTACTAATACATTTTCTATCTCCTCTACAATTAAACCCCAAGTCTCCATTGGTTCTGAATTAAAATAAAAAATGTATTAGAATTCACTGAAACTTGCAGAAGCTGTAGAGAACCATTATCACAGTTAAAGTTGTCAATTTAAGGATTTCAAATGAGTACTTGAAATATAAATTACATAATTTCCTAAAGCTTTATAACTTTGGGGTCAAAGTCTTCAGGAAACTACATCCTTGCCAATCTATCGATTTAATTCCCTAAGTCCATTAAGGCATATGAAGTGGATAGATAAAATGATAAGTACTGAGGAATCAATCATCTTTGTTGCACCAGTCCTATTACTATAACAACTTCTCATAAAAGCTTTCCGAACAGGATGACCACAGCTCTTTGACTACTAATTAATGGGGTTGTCCAGATAAAGTGATTACTCCAGTAAAATCTCTGAAGTGACCAATGTCAAAATGAATCAAAATTCTACTAATTCTGAAGGATTCCGTTTTTGTTTGTGAAAAGAGCTTTACAGAGTAGAAAGCTCATAAAATAAAAATCTTTGTTAATATGATTGGGAGTAGTGAGGGATAGGCAGGGGGAGAGTGGTGTCCAGGAAAAGAGAGTTTTAAACTAGGAGGGAAGAAGGTGAGGGAAAGAGGAGGGCAGAAATACAAGGAATAAAAAGAATAAGAGATGTGGGAAGGGGATAGGATGTTGGAGGGAACGGGTTATTAAGGGTTAGAGACACAGAAGAGAGTCATAAAATTATTCATAAAGAAGGGAAGAGAGGAAAGGTGATGGGAGTTTGAAGGAACAGAAGAGGGAAAGAGATTAAAGAAAGGAGAAAGGGTAATTTCATGATTGGCCCAAGATCAACATTAACAGCTGGTTTAATTAATTTCTAATGTAGATCAAAATATCCACAAGGTATGAGAATACACCTTTTGTTTTCTGATTGTGTGTTTGTCATTAACTTGATAAATGTGACTCTTGGTGTTCAAAACAAAAAAAAAACAAAACAACCCCAACACCCTTTTTTGATATGAACATTGAAATGTCAAATCCTCGATAATGTTCCAGATCAGCTCAGTACGCATAACTTCACAGGCACAAAATCATACACACTCAAAATCGTGAGTTTTGTTCTTCAAAATGGAAGAGATGTCTTCTCCATGAATAAGAATCTCCTATTACCACAAAGAGGATTCAATGTTTCTAATAAGAACAAATTCTGTAGGACTTCCAAAGTGTGTGGGTGTGGGTGTGGGGGGGGAAGAGGTCAAAATTCAATCCGCAAACTTGTATTGCAGTGCTAACCAAGTACTAGATATGCTGCTACTTAGCTGAGGATACAGAGATAAATATAACCCAATCCCTGTTTTGGTCCTCAAGGAATTAGTTACTTTTTCTTTTTCCTTAACACGATAAAGTTCTGAAAACAATCCACAGGTAATTTTACATTTTTCTGCAGGGTACCTGCCTGTTTAATTCCAGAGCTGATATCCCACCAGCCAGCTGAGGAAATTGGGCAGGATCCAAAGGAGAAAGTGAAACCTATCAATTGCAAGAGCTTCCAAGAGTTAAAGTGTTCTGTTTGTATCTGACTAGCCATGGAGAGAAAACTAAGAAGGTAGGAGCTGTTAAGAGTATCCAGTTCTACATCAGCCTATGAAAAAACAATTCCAGCAGCAAGCACCTCTTCAATGACTGGAGCCTTTAAGTAACAAGCTTTCTTAAGTGGGAGTTGCTGTATTTCCCGCGGCAGATGGTGCCTATTTGTCACACCTGCTGATAAATAAAATAATGCTGTTTACTCCACCGTGAATAACATCGTAAAATTTCCAAATCTCTCCTACCTTTCGTGGTTTGCTGGATGAATCGGGTTGGCCATTTAAGTATTCCTTTTGAAGCTTGCATCAACAGGCAACTTGCTTGGGGAGCATCTCTGGAATACCTGCAAAATAGAACGAACGGCTGGTTTAGCTAGAGCAGCCAGACTATCTGCATGCAAAGTATGCTTTCTCTTTCATCTTCCCAAAGAGTCAGCCCTTTCCAGCACAACACAGAAAAGCACCTGCTATTAGTTACTTAAAATGCCAGTTGCCACTTACCGCTTGAGAGTGCAGTTTCAGATGCCTGCTTCTTATACGTTTCAAAAAGCAAAGATAAGTCTCTGTTTCGACGTGGAGATGCCTTCTGGAATACTAGGATGGAAGCAGCCTGAATTAGTCAAGTCCCCAGTTCCTCTTTCACAGGCAATAGTGAAGAGTTTGCAGGAAAGGTAGTGAATCAGCTCTGCTCTGTCTTAGCAGTGAGGAGCGGGAGAGGGAGGAGATAGAAGAGAAGCTTAGAGGGAAAGTTTGTGTAAGCCTTCCACTTTAACCCTTTCACGGCTTCTTCATGAATCTTTATTAAAGCTTCTTTATGTATCATTTAAGGTGATCTGATCTCTTGATCAAGCGAAGACATTTTAATCCTAGGTGTAATAGTCACATTATAGGTATCATTGGAACCAAACCTGACAGGATGTGGTGGTATTTTAGCAATTTCATTTTGACAAACAGGATACATGCATGTATATTGATTCTTAGGTCATGGAAACGTTTTGTAGGCACCAATTGGATACTACCTATGTGAATTTTTCTCCCTGTGTGGTAATCCAGCCTGAGCTTTGGGTTGGGGGTTCTAAGATTTTAGTAAAACGTCTTTGAAGATGGAATGCTTATCCATGGTATGGGCATCGTTATAAGTGATTCATCCACCTGTATTTTAAATACCCTTTCTGTGTTTTATGCATTGTGGCAGGAAGAAAGAGATGAACAGTTCTTGAATGCCTATTCTGTGTCAAGCGTTTCACATAAATTTTGTATTTAACCCCCACAACAACTCTGTGACTTGATTTTATTATCCTCCTCTTGCAAATGGGAAACTTGAGTTCCAGAGAGGAAGTTTGTCATGCAGTCAGTCAATAATGGTGGAGCCATTTGAAAACAAGGAGTGTGATCCCAAAGTTTCTGCTTTTGTCTCTGTAACAGTTGTTTTCAAGAATTTTTGAATCTTGGATTTTTTTTAGAATCTGATGAAAGTTATGTGTTTCCCCTTCCTTAAAAACAGGTATATGATTTTGGTGGTCAAATTTCTAGGTCAGGAACAGCTGAATGTTCCCATCTCGTCTCTTCAGTATTAAACCACCATTCAAAACCATCATATCAACACACGTCATGAAACAATTTTATTATGGTATTAGTAGCAATAATTTAATAGAAGCGTCATGCCAACCTTTAAGAAACCATTACAGTGCTTTCCCCTTTATTTCAAAATTATCCTACATACCTCCTGCATCTTCTACCTTTGTATTATCCTCACTCCACTGGGTATGCCCTTGGTTGATGTGCACCTTGAAATCATTAATGCCTTCCCAGTATGGTCTAGTATCTTGTTTATTCAACTGGTGGAGTATGCTGAAATTTCTCATCTCATCCTGGGGGTGTGTGCTGGAAATTCATGCCTACTTTTCAAATGGGATGCATGCATGTGTGTATCCATAGACTTTGGAACACGTTTTAGGTGCCAACTGAATACTTTACATTTGAATTGGTGGGTGTGTATATAAATTGTTTTACCCAATACGTAGGAATGTACAGAAAGTGTGTGGAACACGTGTGCAATGTTCAACATTAGTGTATGTTCACTGTTATTCAATGCGGCATTACTTGCAATAATAACCCACTACCATCTAGTCGATTAACAGTCATAGAGACTCCATAAGGCAGAATAGAACTGATCCAGGGTTTCTGAGCCTATAAACCAGTGGTTCTCAACCTGTGGGTTACGACCCCTTTGGGGGTTGAACAACCCTTTCACAGGGGTTGCCTGAGACCATCGGAAAACACATATTTCCAATGGTCTTAGGAACAGAGACACCGCTCCTCTATCTCAACCTTCGCACTGAAGTTGGCTTTTTATACATACTGTCACAAAATGTAGCAATGTAGTTTACTATTTATTTGTAATTAGAAATAAATATTTCACAATACATAATTGCATATTGTTTTTGTGATGAATCCCTGTGCTTTAATGATGTTCAATTTGTAACAATGAAAATACAGCCTGCATATCAGATATTTACATGATGCTTCATAAACAGTAGCAAAATGACAGTGATGAAGTAGTAATGAAATAATTTTATGGTTGGGGGTCACCACCACATGAGGAACTATATTAAAGGGTCATGGTATTAGGAAGGCTGAGAAGCACTGCTATACACCTTTATGAAATCTGACAGCATTATCTTTCTCCTGCAGAGTGACTGGTGTGTGCGTTTGAACCATCGACTTTGCAATTGGTAGCCACTTAAAATGCCAGTTGCCATCTAACGCATAGCACTAAGATGCAAAATAACTACATGGCTAGCAATGTAGAGACCGATTAAATAAAATACTATTCTGAAAACAAATAAGACGTTCTTTCTATTTTTATTTGCAGTGATGATTAAGATAATTTATTAAATTACATTTAAAAGTAAGATGCCAAAATGTACATATAATTTGCTACAATTGTGTTATGGAAAAAAAAGAAATGCACATTATACCACATGTATTATCACTTCTCAATATCACAAGTATTTGGGAACATAAATTGGAGGGTAGGGGTGGTTTTGGAGAGACTGGATGAAAGGGGCACCCTTTGTAGCAAGTCTTTTATCACGTACCTTTTCAACCTTAGGATTTGAAACAAATAACTACATTATTTTAAAGTTTGTGGACAAAATAATAAAATAATGCAAATAGATTTGGTCCACAAACTTGGTGAAAAGCCCTTGTATATTCTAAATATTCTAAATTAAGAAAGTCAATTTCTTGGAGATTTCGTTTTCTCATTTATAAAAGGAGAGGAAACTATCCCCATGAGGATTGTATGATAAAATATCTCTAAAGCATGTCCTACATGTTTGGCACTTGAAAAATATTAATGTTGTCATCTCAACATTTTAAATATTAAAAGATAATTCTGTTCAAAACTCACTACCATCAATTTGGTGCTGACTCATAGTGACTGAGGTAGTTAGTTTATTGTGCCAACCTGGCCGATAAACACATGTGGGGTTAATTGAAGGGCAGAGGGATAAATGGCTCA